CGGGGGTGAGTAACGGCGTCGAGGCCTGCTTCTCTCCACAAGCCAGCTGTCGGCTCTGTGTTTGTACAGCACCTCGCACCGCTCCAGCGTGCGTGAATAACGGTAGTTCCTCGTGGGAACACCCCAACCCGAGTCCCGCGGGTCTGTGTCCTTCCCTCCCGGGCTTGCTCTGAGGAACTTGGTCTGTGCTTGCCAGGCTCTCCTTGAGATTCTCCTTGCAGAACATTGCCGGAGGAAAGTGTGTCTTGTGATGCCACTTTTATTTTTTGTAGTTTTGCGGGGGCACATCAGCGCACAGGTTTGCCCAGCTAGGTGGGTCCTGTGTAAAAGGCTGGTTGGGCAGGTGTAAGTGCTCGTCTGTGTTGAGCCACTGCAAATGGAAACTGCTACAATGGATGCCTGAGCAGCTTTTGAGACTGACTGGAATTTGTCAGTGAATTGGAAATTAATTTAAAATAGTTGAAAAACTGGATAAATTAGAAAGAATAAGAGGCAATTTTTTGAGCTGAAGTTGTCTGAACTGCAGGAGGGAGGTAGTGTCCTGGTTTATCCGTTTCTTGTGAGAACGTGTAGGTGTTATTTCTATGATAACTGAAAAAAGTTCTCATATAGTGCTTCAAATGAGGCTGCTCATTTGAAGCCTGTAGTTCAGAACAAAATGAACTCCGGCCTTCCCAGTACTATGTTTTCCTGAGATTGTGAGCAATTTGAAGAGAGCTTCCTTGTTTGTTAAATCCATAGTTTCAGTAGAAATAAATTAGCTTTCTTGTATGTCTTACTACATCAAGTCCCTTGTCAGTAACAAATCCTGCTTAGCTTTGCTGGCTGGCTTTGCACTCTCCAGAAATTTTATCCCTCAAGAAGCCTGTGAATTTCTTATTATTTCAGGGACAGTTATGCTGAAATGGATCATTTTGCTATGGTGTGAACACCAAATTTGTGAAGTGTTCCAGATCAGCTGAAGGGCACAACTTTTGAAATTGTTTTTGCTTGGATTTCCATAGGGCTGATTGATAGCTCTATTACCTCATTTCTGCATCGTATTCTTCGAAGTTTTTTGAGTGGAGTAGTCCATTTGTGGTGCTTGCTTGTGGAGAGCTTTCTCAGAAAAGAACGTTTTTCAATCTTTTCTCTAGATAGTATGATTACTGTTAATAGCATCTGATTAGTTCTGGAAAAATCATTGCATAGCTGGACTTTTTAAAGGCAAATGCATCTTTACAATTCTAACCAGTTTAGCCCTTGACTTGTAACATATGTGGGCCCAGCAAAACCCAGCTGTGGTTAGTAGTTTTATATTGGTCTTTCATCTACCTATTTTATTATCTATTAATTATGTTAAAATTAGGATCAAAGGGTTGAACTGGAATTGGGGGTTGAACAGAAGCTGATGTTGTTTTGTGTTCACAGCAGCTTGAACTCTGAATAAGTATATTGCAGGTTAGTCATCAAAATTATTGTCAGACAATTGAAGTACCTTGGATAATTTCACTATCTGAGTATTCAGCCTTTCTTTTTGAGGGCAAGAGTGGCCAAGACTGTGTATGCATTTTATTCCCTCCTAAAATTTGCTAATTTGCATGATGTAGACAGCTTGATTTTTATTATACTGTAACTGAAGAATTTTGGAATGAGCTGGAAACTGTTGAGAGTGCTTGATTTTGTATGGCTGTGCTTATTCTGTTTTGTTAGTTTTCATCAGCGTTATCAATTTTTCATGTGCTCCAGAAGTGGAAAGACACAGTTAATTTTAGGAAAGAGAAAAGGTTACTCAATCATAATTTATGAGTTTTTACCTCTGTATCTCATGCCTTTGCTGAGTATTTTAATGCTATTGTGCATGAGATGACCAATATGACGGTTAGGGGACAAGATTCCACTTCATGTGCTCCTGGAAAGGTCTGTTGTGTTGCCCTTTTCACATTACCAGACCTTATGCTGCTATTTGTGACTACATAGCTCCGCAGTGTGTGACTCATCTGTAAATTTCCTGAGATGTTACATTCATAGAGTGCAAGAACTGAAAAATAACCTTCCTTGAGCTGTCATAGTGCATGGCCAAGAAATGCCTTTCAAGGAATTTAGCTGACAAAGCAGTTTTCTGTAGGTTTCATTAAAAGTTCTTAGTACAATATATTTATTTTCCCTTGTATAGAAAGAATATGCATGGGTTTTTAATTAACAATTAATTAAGAGAAGAGATAAATTTTACACACTTCAAAATTAAAACATGACTTTCTTTCAAAATAAAGCCCATAATCATGATGCATAACAAATTTCCTTCAGTTGAGTGTTTATACTGCTAGGAAAATTTTAAAGGAATAGAGGGATATGTTCAGACAATAGAATCAACAAGTGGTAAATTGTTTGTGTTGGTATTTCAAATGTAAATTAGAACAGAAAACTTAAAATAATGCTGGGATGACTCCCTTTCAGAAATAAACATTAATTAAACTGAACATGTAGAGCAAAAACCTATTGCATAGAGTGATGTGAATTGTAAGGAGTCTGAAACACCAGAGAAGCTCTAGACCTTGCTGTGAGGCTTTCCTAGGAATGTGGGAAGTGCTGGATTTCCCACTATGTGCTAGTAGACTACTCACTCATGTATTCTGTTCAAGGAAAGATGTGCAAGAGGTGTTGGATATAAGCAGATGCCTAGAGACAAATCCAGAATTATTTTTTGAGAGAGGAAAAAGATGCTTTCTGTCAACCGCTTTCTGGGGTTCTTTTCTCTTTCATTTGACCCCCCAAATTGGAGGTGCCATAGGCCTTTCAAGCAGATTTTCAACATACAGTGAGACTTTCTGTTGACGTCAGCGGAAGGTTGATCAGACCTAGAAAAAACTCTTATGCTGTCTTCTTTTGTTGCTGCTTTGAACTGAGACTTAATCCTTCTTACTTTCTCAGGTACTAAAAAGATTCTGCATTGAGTAGTAGCTGACTTAATTTTGCATTGCTTCAGAAGGTTTATAGCAACAGTAGGAAAAGCTCTCTTGGAAAGACTCAAAATTATATTTTGCTAAACCTACTATTCCTTGTAATTTGATGGGTTACTACTCATTTTGTCCTGCTGTTTTACTGTAAAAAGTCTGGACTTCAGTAAATAGGAAGAAAAATTTTATAAAATCCTGTGTATTTTAAAGTTACTTGTGAATTTTAAATCAATTTGTGTATTCTTCTGAAAATGAACCACATGTATATGTTTTTTAATCTAGAAATGTTTAACAATTTAAAAAATATTTATGTTTTTTTAAATTTCAGTTTAAATTGATCGTGAAAAATCCAGAAAAACCTGTTGCATCTGGACTTCAAGTTACAGCTTTTGTAGAATATTATCCTGAGAGTGAAGAAGATCTTGAAGACAGACTACTTCTTTTAGTAGAAGATGACATGGTTGATATCCCTGTGCTTGGGTATGATGGTCAAAAGTTCATATACTGCTGTTGCTATTTGCAGTTTAATCTTGTGGAAAGTTCGCTAACACCTGTTTATTGCTATGTAATTAATCTGTCAATTGCACTGAAAACAAATAGTAGGTTTCCTTACAAAAGCAAGATTTTTTTTTTTCCAGAGCAGCACACAGGTAAGAAGTTAATTGAGGTGATGTCTCTCTAAGATCCTAGAGAGAGTTTGGGGTTTTGTTTTTGCTTTATTCTAAATTGGTTGTAATAACTTTGATAATTTCTAATTCTGTATCAGCATTAGACAAGTTTGAATCTACTCTTAAAGTCTTCCCTCCTTACTGAATCACTTATATAAAAAATAATTATAGTAATTTTCCATATTTGCAAAACTAGATTATAGTGAAACATATGTTGCCTAATTCTAAAAAGATAGTATGTGTTTTAGAATAAGGTCACACATTCACGAATCATTTTCATTAATCCATGTGTGATTGTGTGTGCCTATCTATGTGTGTGTGCATGGATATATGTCTTATTGTATACAACATGCATATTGGTTGGAAAAAATAAGCTTCTAAATATACTTTATCAGACTTAGGCTAGGTGGTTATCTGAGGATGAGGGGAAATTGCTCTGGAATATATTTCTTTCCTTTGTCTATAAAGAGAAATTAGAATGACAAACTTCTGTTGACAGTTCCAGCTTTCAGATGCCTAAATTAGGACAGATGAATCCCATAAACTATTGCAAATCATAGTTTTTTATGAAAATCTTAACATTACAAATTACATGTACAGATAGAAAGGAATTTCCATGGAAATTTTTCCGTATATGAGTTGTTTTAAAAATCAAGCAATCCCACAAACGTCTCATGCTAGCCTGAAATGTGTAAGGTTTTGCCTTTAGATAAGAAATACTTGCTCCTACATTTCATTTACCTCTTATGTCTTGATTTTTTTCCACAGATTTGTTTTTCCTCGTTTCATCTTAAAAGTTTTGGGATTTTTTTATTGTAATGTTGTGCCATTGTTAATGTAGGACACAAATAGTTAAGCCTGACTTGGGCCTTTTCAAGTTGTAAATTTTGTCTCTTTTTAGCAAAAAACTGTCAACCATTAGAAGACTTGGAAATAACAATTTCAATTAGCTGCTTTTTCTGTGGTGTTTGTAAACTCTTATTCTCATAGAACACAGTATTAAACAATGCTGTTATAGCTTTCTTGAATAGCTTTAGAGAAATTTAAATGGAAAGCCCTAAATGCTTTTCTTTGACTGAAAGACAGGGGTGACTTTTCATGAGGTAATACAGAACTCAGTATTCAATATGATCATTTTACTATTAAAAATAGCTGTCTCTAAATATATTCTCCCAATGTTTCCTAGAAGAAAAAAGTGATTAGGGAGCACTTTAAATTTTTTTCTATTTTTACTTTTTTACTTTTCTATTTTTAATTTTTTTGAAAATTTTTATTAGGGTAGTGTTGTGGAGGTAAGACAGCTTAGGATGATAATGCTACTGGTGACTCCTTTCTGGAAAGGACTTGTGGTAGATTAAGTATTTCAAATCTTCATGTTTAACTGGCTTTTGCAAGGAAAAAAAATTGACAGGCTATAATAATTGTTTTTATTTGTTTGTTTGAAAAAGTAAATACACTTTGTTTCTTTTTTAATCACTCTTTTCCCAAATGTATTTTGTGTCATGCACGTCTGCTGTTTATAGATAGATGATATTCAATTATTGCGCTGAAGGGTCACTAAATATATAATAAATATATTTTTCTACACAATCATAATTTAAAATGCATCATTAACCATTTTGTGAAAATAGTGTATATGTGATGTAACACTGGTTGAGAAATACTTGTCAAAAGATTTTTTTTTTCCAATTAAAAATTGCATTATCACTATGAAATGTCCACAAAAGTCTTTAATTTGATGGAAGAACCTGAAAATATTTTCAAGGAAATATTTGCAATGTTCTGTTTTGCATGACAGACATTCCCGCTCCCCTGAATTTATTTATTTCTGATGTGTTTTTCTCCTCACTTCCTATTTAAAAATTTATGCATTTTTGTACATTTTTAATAACATTATATTATTTCTACTGATGTATCAATAATTAGTAAACACTAATGCTACTTTTCCTAAAACATCAAGAATTACAATAAGTGATTTTAAAAATTGTTAAGGCTATACTTAGGTTTATGCCCAATTACTATGTATTTTTGTGACACACAAACAAAATTTCTTATCAGCTACAAACTCAGATTTTTGGCCAACTCAAATACAGTGTTTATTTTTATCATCTCTGGTGAATGTCACTCAGATTGTGTACTGGCAGTACCTTTGAAGAGTTGTACATTTGCAAAACAGAATTAAGTTTTACAGCATGTGACAGCAAGTTCAGAAAATTCATAAATATAATGCAAGATAATGTGTTATTGTATCAGAAATATTTGCAAGTTGCTGATATTATTTGGACTGGCTTCTTTAAATGTCTGCTACTTCTGTCTTACCTATTAGCTTATTTGTAGTCTTCTTTCTTTGAAATTATATTCTTTTTCAGCTTTTATTTCTGTATGGGTTATAGGGTGCTATGTACTTACACATAATTCACTATGAACTTGTAGAAATTATGGGTCTGCATGTTTTGTGCATAAAATTTTGAAAGAAAAGTGCACTGGTGGTTTAGGAAAAAAAGCATGAGAAGACTTAACCCTTTTACAAACAACTTGTGTGATCTCTTCAATCATGTCTACTGTTCACTTTAAGATAATCTTCAGTCTAGGATGAGATTCACTGAGAGTGTAGGAAAGGTTAGTTTCCCATACAACATTAAACTGCAGTAACACTCCACTTATTTTTTGTAACTGTTTATTTGGTAAAATATGCCACCAAGATAATTTTATATCTATTGTGCTTTAGTGACATTAATATCACAGTTGTTGGTTGGCAGGTAAAATAGCTGTTACGTGTTTGCCTGGCTCATAATACTAGATCCAGTGGTTAATCATATGGATTTATGGCTCATGTTTTGGAAACCAAAAAACAATCTTAGCTTAATCTCTACAGTACCATGGATTTATGATGTGCTCAGTAATACAAGTATAATGATTTAATTATGTAAATATTTGATTGCCATAGAAAATACTTAAGGTTTGGGAATGTGTTTCAAAGAAGCCAGTTGCAGTTGTTTGTGGTTTTTTTGTTTGTTTATTTTTTAAAATGAGTAACTGGAAATCTGCATCCAAACTATGTTTTAAAAATGTAATAATTAAGAATTATTTTTTTTTTTTTAAATAAGAAAACATTTGAAATTAGGCATTTCCTGGGGTAAATTCCATCTTCACTAAAAAATCCAAACCAGCAAACCAAACCAATCAAAGAAACCTCATCCTGTGTTAAAAAACCAAGACCCAAAACCTTTAACTTGACTGTTTTTCTTTTTGCATAGGTCCATATCTGTTAAAAAAATCTCACTGCAATTAGAATTTATGCTTATTCCTGTCTATTTGGTGTCACGTTAAAGGGTACGAGTCTGATATGTGGCTGAGGGATGCCCTCCCGTTGAGTCATGAGGTTCAGAAAGGACCCCCTCGCTTTCTAAACTCCTTCTCAGAGAAGAGCCTCAGCGCAGCAAGGTCCAGTCTTAGTCCCAGACTTGGTCAATGGTTTATGTCTAAAGGATTATGTGTGTAGCCACTTACCAGAGTCAACGTTTGCATTCAGAGCCCCCTAAAGGACTTTCACTGAGTCAGTTTCGCAAAGTTGAAAAAGAATAGGTAATTTATTAAGACGACAGATAGAAAAAGTTTGGAATTACCATTGATAAATACACTTACTGCAATACTGCTGATATATGATTATAGCGCTAGCAAAATGCTATTCCGGGTATTCTTCACCAAAAGGTGAAGGTGCAATGCTTACCAAGAAAGCGTCCCTATCTTGGGTGGAGGGGAAGGAGCACAGCCCCTCGTCTGCCTCTTCGGGGTCTTCAATCTCTTCTCTACCCCCAGGGGTATTTTCCTCAATATCCTTTATACCTTAACCTTGGCTGTCCCCTTCCTGGGGTGACATTTAATGTGAGAGTCGAGTACTATAGTCATATATGTTTGTACTTCAAGCTCATTATCATATTCAGGGATGTCAACTTTAATATTAATTTCATGTATAATCAAGCAACAGGTCTCACTCTGGGCACCGTGGCCTTCAAGATTCTGTGTAGAAACCATTTATCTGCTTATTCTGCATTCTTCAGCCAAAATAGGATCATCCTGCCACCGTAAGACTCCCTCCTTTGGCTGCTTCTCATGCCGACCTTGTGGATCTCCATCCACAATGTTTGCACAAGAGATGAGTGGACACCAGCATTTTTAACCTCTTATGTTCAATTCTCACACTTGGGAAGTTATATATATTTGGATCTTGAGAGGAGAGATACTTGTGTTTCATCTCTCTAGCAAAGCTTCTTGGAAGAGTGTTTGAATACTTGGAACATGTGAAGTTTTTACAGTCTTTTCAAGTGTACTCTAATCTTGATAGCTGTTTCCTGGTTAGTTTTTTGTTTTATTGTTTTGCTGGGTTTTTTTGCCACATCCTGCTGGTCTAGGCCATCTCTTTCAAGAATTTACTAATTTTTTTCCCCATTGCATTATATTATTAAAGAAATTTTAAACCAGTGTATTAACGTTCCCAACAGCTACTTCTTTTGTTGCATTTTTTAATTTTTTTTTTTTCTTTTCTTGCTTTCTCTACCCTGCTGCCTGCAATAGATTATATGGGCAGAGTCTACCTGGCTTGGCTTTCTTCATTTAGTCTTCTGTACTGCATATAATGCAGATCATGAGATGCAGTTGTTCCTGCATGTTCCTATTGTGGTTAAGAGGAGATAGACTGCTGTGCTGATGTAAAATTCCAATGGATTTCAAACATAAGTTTATGTGAGATCAGAGGTGTGATTTTATTGGAAATTGAGCCCTTTAAAATACAAGTTTCCTGAAGCAAATGTGATCTTTTTATTATGGCTAAGCAGTACCCAATACAGTGATGTCATCATGCTGGCTGAGGCTCTTAAATAAATAATAGAAATAACTTGTGTTTTATCCATTTTCTTCTGTCATAATAAGTTTTGTTAAAGCCACATAAAGTAGCTACAAAACAAGAAGACTGTGAATTGAAGCTGGCACACATGTTTTCTCTCTGCTATTAGTTCAGGGAGATGTTGAAATATGGTGAATGTTAACTTTGGTCTTCTTTTGCGATGCAACTAACTCGAGATAGTTTTATTTAAAGTTCTTTGTGCTATAATAAAGTAATTAAAATTAAATAGAAATGCATACATTCCATTTTGGCTAACTGTTTAAAGCTATATTGTTTTAAAGTTATAGTAGTTAGTCATTAAACAGCTTGATAGATAGCTAGGTCTTTTTTACATCTTCCCTGTGTATACTGTACTGCTGAAGTGAGTTCCATAAATGATGGTAGGGGAATTAGGAGAAAAGGAGAACTCTCTTCCACTGGAGTGCTTAATTGAATTTCTTCAAAAATGCAAAGGTATTTTCAAGTTTTGAGAAAATATAACCATGTCTTTTCTCTGCAGATTAATTCCATGTTGTTATCTGGAAACTGAGTTGGAGATTAATTTTGGTACAGTGATTGCAAACAGTAAAATAATTAGTAAAGAAATTAGTATTTCTAACCATGGATCATCTTCAGGTAAATATTTAGTATGCATTAAATTATACAAATATTTTGTTTTCTTGAAAATGCAATTTTATGAAAGTTAACACTTTGATGGCCAGGTAGAAATTAACTGAAGTTCTGGGTTACGTGGATTATGAGTTCTGTAGCTAAAGGTTCTATAAACGGCCAATTGCTTCTGTAGGCAGTACTATGTTTCTGCATAGGGAAAAAAATGAATTTAGGAGTTCTCTACTTTTAAGTCCAATCTGAAAGATGTAAAAATAACCATTGCTCGTTGGCTTATTCTGCCAAGCTTAAATAACAGCAAATCATGTCTGCTTTTGCTTTGTTGTCTTTGTGATTCTGTGACCCCAATAGCTGTCTATTAAATGAAGAACTACAAGCTCCATGTACTTTCAGAGCTGAGGTCTTCTAGGACTGGAGTTGAACTGTATTTGTTATCAGAAGATAATGAGATGTTGTTTATCTTGCTGCCATAGCTTTTGAAATCATACAGCTTTCAAAACCTGCGCATCCTTCAACTTCTGTGAGGGACCCTTCCAAGGAGTATGAGAGACATGGAGAACAGAGCATAAGAATGCTTGTATGATCCAAGTAACCTATCTGACTGCCTTTTCCACTGGACAAAGCTATAGACACTTTTCTCCAGAAGTAGGGTGGCAACTATGCTAACTTTCAAATAACAAATTTAAGGCAGTTAATTACTTTTGTTCCTTGCTTGTACAACTTATTATATCACAAAGTACCTTTATTTTCATTAGGCCAAGGTTGTGTGAACATTTGCTTCATGGATTTCCATAGGAAATGTTGTGCCAACAGAAAATACATGATTGTAGAAACACAGAAATGGGTTGCAAATATTAAAAACAGTAAAATCAAATGGCTGTCTAGTTAGAACAGAATTTTTTTTTTTTCCAAAAAGCAAAGGAAATTTTTTTTTTTCCTAACCAGCTCAACTTAAAGATGTAATATGTAGTTTATATAAACAGCTCTTACTCATACATACTCTTTCTTTGAGGAATGATATAAAGAAAATGAGAACCTACATTATATATGCATTTGCAACTAATTTGCATAATGTAAATTTTCTCATGTTGTATTGGAACTGTTTCTAGTTATATACTCTGTTGCATGGTGCACGCAGGCTGCATGATGGCATTTTGCAGGATTGGACACAGGCAAAATTCGAATGAAAGAGGTGGTTAGTGACCAATGTATTGAGGGCAGACAATACAGGAACAGCTGCTGAATCTGTGTTTCTGTAGGGTCTGTAAATCGTAATACAGCAGGTCGCACTAACAGACAGCACATAAGCTGTATCAACAGGAAATGCTATATGCTGGCCTGTGATTCAAGCATTGCATTTCACATGTCATCCCATGCACAAAAGGAGTCCTTTGTTCCTGCTTCTGATCTGATATCAGAGATTATCTGTTGTCTGAGGTCAAACACTGCATTTTTCCTACATTTGAAGCAATTTCTTGCTATCTATGATGTAATGGCAGATAATTAGTGCTGCTGGTTAAATACACGTATAATAATTTTTTCACATTTTAAAAAATATTTTTATAACCTAGAAACGTTCACTGTTCTCTTCTGTAATAAATTGTGTTGTGTATGTACCAGATAATGAAAACTGTTGTTACCTGCAATATGGACTTAACTTTCTGGCTACGGTAGCTGCCTAGAGCTGTGTATAAAATATCCTGTAACATACAAAATGTTACTTACAGCCACTTTATAATAAAGTCACTTTTGTTTGGAATGTGAGTATCTTTTCTGTTACAATCACAACTCACAAAGTTGTGTTGGACATGTGGGTGTAATATTTAACGAAACTCTGGAAATAATGATCTACTCTGTGTTAGAAATGGTTTTGAAAAAGATTAACTCCATGTTTCCTTTTTCTACAGGAAAATGCACTGCTTGTGAATAACTGCATTATGTGTTTTGTAATTCCAAATGTGTAATAGAAGAATATAAATCTAAAACTTTATGTATGTTGTGTAACATTCTGTTTCTTTTAGGTACATTTAAAATATCATATGATGGGGTTGTCTTGCTTAACATAGAACCTACCAGTGGAGTGGTAGAGCCGAATTCTGTAAAGATGGTTAAAGTGGATATCTGCACAGATGTACCCAGAATCATCAAGGAAGTGATAAAGTGAGTGAATGACTGAAGAAATCCAGCCCTATAAATTGCATTTTTGTCTGTTATTAATTCTAATCTTTATTATGAATGTTTAAAAAAGTTAAGCTGCTGGGTGTCAGTTGCAGTCTTCCACATTTATTTTTATTAAATTAATTTGATGAGTATATTAACTCCACAGAACAGTGAGACATAAATTGTGAATCTGGCTGTTATTAAAGATCTCTCAGAAGTTGTAATGATACAGGATATTTGCACATTTCTCAGTATACAACTAACCAAGAACTTTTGAATCTTTCACCTTTCTACTCATCATGTGTTCCTTACTTTTTTACATTCTGTAACTTTGCTATTTTTCTTTAGGCTCTATGTATTTCAGGAGTCTCAGAAACATTATGATGTCCTTTGGTGTATCTTATTTGAAATGGAGGCAATGTATTTGCAACCAGTAACTCTTTTAAGAATGGACTATTTTTAAATACCTACCTTGTTTCTCTTCAAATGATGAATATAAACTTTTTAGGAAGTGCCAGAATTTGGAAGTGGATACCAATGTGGAAAGTCGTTTTCCATCCTGTTTTCTTATAATAGTTAATAGGGTGTGGTTGGGTTGTGGGTTTTTCTGGGGATTTTTGTTTGGTTTTTTTTGGAGGGTGTGTTTCCTGTTTTGTTTTTAGATTATTAAGATATGCCTTAAAGTCCAATTCTTCCTGTTCTTGCTTTTTGTAGCCTGTTGGAAGAGGAAATGAAATGAAAGGAGAAAAATTCTATTAGAGTGAAAGGGAAGACAATATTTGCATTTTGCCGCATAGTTACATCCTTCTTCATATGATATTTTCTTTGGTTACTGAGTTTCAACCTTTTGGTTGCTAAGTGTCATGCTTTGTGCCTTTCCTTTGCTGTGCAGGCTACCACCACTGTTTTCTTCACCCCATCTTGGTTAAACAGCTGCTTTCTTCAGCAGTCTAGTAGATGGTTCATCTATTAAACTGAAACAACATAACTACACAGAGCTCAGATTTCATTCTTTACCCGTTCCTTGCCTTGAATTCTACCTAATTCTGTCAGTGAACTTGTAATTTCTTAGTAGTCATTGCTATATCCTTTAGACTAACTGAAATCTTAAGTTTCCTTGTCAAGCCTTGCACAAATATTTAAATATATGCATATACATGTGTGTATATATGCATTTAAACAAATAGAGTAATATTGTAAGTCTTTACAATGGGTATTTGATGGAAATTTGGCTTGGAGAAATAGTACGGTTTTCATGGAAACATCCTGGTTATTTCAATTTGCCTTGTCCTCTAAGCATTTTGCTTCTATGCACAAGCAAAATTCTTTTCAGAAGAATCTACTCATATTTTTTTGAGATTTCTTTTCTGTCTTGGAGAATCCCACAGTCATGCTTCAGAAGTTGAAAGATGATATTTAGAGAGTTTGAGATCCTCTCCCAGATGTCTTGTGTAGTTATGTGTGACTATTCAAAACAAAGATTTTTAAAATTATTTATTTTTTTCAGCTCAGAGGCTGAAAGGTTGAAAGATGATATTTAGAGAGTTTGAGATCCTCTCCCAGATGTCTTGTGTAGTTATGTGTGACTATTCAAAACAAAGATTTTTAAAATTATTTATTTTTTTCAGCTCAGAGGCTATTCAAAGGATAGTTGATTCTATTAGAACAAGGTGTTATATTACTAAATTTGATTCTTTTGTGCAACAAGAACAAATATGCTTTGTTCCAGTAGAATTTTAATAAAAAAGATTTGTACAATGTCTATAAAGTCCTTTGGTGTTTTGTGGTATCATCAAGATCAAGCATTCAAACAGGAACAGCAAGAGTTATTTTATGGTTATTCAAATGAACTTCTAGCTGAAGTTGCCTAAGAGAAAATTACTCAGTATAGGCCAAAACTGATATCTAGATACAAAGATTCTCAGAAATAAGAGCAGTGTTTCATCTGTGGAGAACTCTGATTCTTTGGAGAATTGTTTCAAACATTAAAAAAAGAGGGAAAACTCAAAAAGCTCCCCAAAACTCTACCATGTAATGTATGATTCTTCCTGATTGGTAATATTCCTGTTAAGTATCACATTATCAAGCACACTCTTCCCCCCTCCTGCTTAGTTTATCTATGGAAAGCCAGTGAGTTGAATGCTCTGATTTAGTTCAGTTTTGCATAGGTTCTAATATAAACGAAACTGATTATTTCTAACACTTTTCTACATTACCTATTGCTGCTTGCTACACTTACTGACAGAGTGGAGTTGGAAGGTCATGGCTGCACTGAAGTATGGATCAAAGCTGTTGTGGTTGAACAAGTTCTTAAAGTTCTAGGAGTGTCGTGTGGAAATATATTGGAATGCATTAACTTTGGACCAGTTTACTTTGGATCTTCAAAGACTGAACAAATATCTTTATACAATGAAAGTCCTGAGTGTGTGGACTGGGTAGCAGTGCTGCAAGACAATGCCATTGGAGGAGAGATGGTAAGAAACTGTTCTGGTTTTTATTTTAGTTGAAAACTTGTTTAAATTTCTGCTTCTGCATTTTTTGTTTCTCAATGATCATCTTCTAGTATTGTTTAATATGTCATACTATTTCCTGATCAATAGACTTTCTGAAACTTAAGTCCAACCAGCATTTTTTTTTTTTTTTTTACTATAATTTAACCTTGGAATTAAATTTTCCTTGTTTCTGTTTCACTATATGACATCTTAACCTGAACAATGTTAAGAGCGCTCCCTGGGTGTGTTTTTTTGTTTGGGTTTTTTTTGAGTGGTTTTGTTGTGCCTACTGGATTTCTTATAATTTAGTAGGAGTTATTGAAATATATTTTGGTATTCTAAGATGTTAAGCATATGTAGTTTCACTTGTTTTTCTGACAGTGAAATCATCTGAGTGAGCATCACCTTTAAAAAAGGGAATTCAAAACATTGACATGAAATTGATGTTTAAAAATTGGTTAATTAGCCATGTGATATGTAACTATGTCAGTTCTATTACTTCTGTCTTTCTACTCATTGTGACAGATATGAAAATGTATGTGTAGGAAAAAAACCAAACGACTAAACACAAAAGGGGAAGCCGAACAGGCTGAACTATTCCATGTTTTGATTATTTTTTAGGGGACAGATCTTCAGAGGAGTGCAGATGCCGCTTTACAAGACTTAAGCTTCAAAAATAGAACAAGAGATGTAGATGCTTCCACCTTGATCTTGTGCATCCCTAATCAAGGAACCTTGCTACCTTATGAGAAATCTTTGGTCACATTGTGCTTTAGTCCAAAGTGAGTGAGCGGTCCAAATTAGACACGCACACACAAGCTGATTGCTCTCAACTATTCTATAAAGAGCTGTGTTAGAGAAAATAATTTTAAATTAATGTGTCTGCAAATTTTTTTTCTGAATGACTTCTTATATATTTGCATATGTTAAAAGAAATTGATTGGCATCATACTACAAATGAGACAGCAAAGTCTGAAGTGATTATCTGGGAGACATTTTATAATACATTGAGGATGAGTTTGAACAAAGAATTGGTTAAGCTTGTCTTGCAAGACCAAGAATTTTATTATGTTTTGCCAAGGGAACTAATTGCAGCTCCCATTAAATATATTGTATCTCTAAAGATTGTTGAGAGAGTACTACAGTGTCAAATTAAGTGCCTTTTTAATGACTGCATATTTATTTCATAAAGATACAGTATATGTGCAGCATTATGAAAAAATATATCTATTTCATCACCAAGAGACTGAAACATTTTGGAGAGCTTTCATTCCATTAAAAAAAAAAAAAAGTAATTATAAAGCAACATTCCTTCTTCGGATAATAAAAGAAGAAGATGTGCTCTTGCTATTTTCCCTTACTTAAGTGATTATTATGCATGTAGTATTAGTTTTGAGAACTGTTGTGGACTGGAAAAGATATAAAATGACCGGTATAATAAGCATACAGATATTGTTGAGCTTAAATTTGTTAATGTTCCATTTTCTGAAAGGAAGTATAAAGGTCATTTGTTCAAGCTGTAAGCAACAGCAAAGAAGCCAGACTGAATAATGAAAAATAAGCCTTGATTTTTTTGTGGGTTGGGGTTTAATGGTTTGTTTTTTTTCCTCATCTTGTAATTGGAGATTGTGACTCTTACAGAAAAATTAAAAGGGACTTTGGAGTGAATGACTCATCACAGAAACAAGATTACGTACTATTTCTGAGATTTGAAACTGTTGGGAATAAAAATGGCTATCTGCAAGCCCTCAGTGATGGTGCCACAGCAATCACAAGTATGTCACCAGAAATGTATAGTCACCATCAGAAATGTATATATAGATTATAAAACTGTATATCTTGATTTTTAATTTTCTTCATCATCTTAGCAGTTTTATGGAAACCTGTATTTATTTTATTTATATCAATACAAATATTGTAACTTACATCTTTAATGCTTTAGCACCAAAACCTCTTTGAGCAGTGTATCGAGAGGAGGGAATCATGCGTGTCATGAATACACCTGCTAGTAGTGAACACTTAGAACTTAATTATAAATGTAAATATTTGGAGGACAAAAAAACCCCCCACCCTAGCCATTTGCAAGTCACCAGCACTTTGGTAATACTGATTTTGTGCATTTTCAAGTGAATATTTGATCACCCTCAAATTTCTTAATGAGGGAATATGTTATCAAATAGCCATTATAAGTAAGCATGTCTGTGTTAAGTTTATAGAAAATTACATTATAACTCATATTCTGTTACAGTATTATTTTGTTTTTGCAACCATACAACTACAGTATGACTTTCTGTTTGTAAGCTAGTAGGTGTGTGAGGTTTTGTTTGTTTGTTTTTTGTGTTTGATGCAGTGAATCATCCTCGTCACATGGAGTTAGCTTTGACAGGGTCTGGGCTTCCTGTCATGTTAACTTTTAATCCAGGACCAGTTATTAAGTTTATGGACTGTTTCCTGGGTGAACAACCACAAGTCCTGTGCACACTCAAAAATGAATCAGAATACCTTTCAGTAACATTCAGCTTCCGCAAGACTGCTCACTTTAATATTTCTCCTGAAAAAGGAAAAATTAAAAAAAAATCTGTAAAGGTAATTACATCTTTCTTTTAGATTATGTAGATATGCAGATTGCTTTACAGTGGTCAGTGATGGAATTTCTTGAAAGTAAACTAGAACCATTTCAGTAGCCATGACATTTAATATCAATCAAATATATAATTTTTTTCTCCTTATGTAGAGTGTTTCGATGCTCTTTCCTGTATTCCAGGAAGCAACAAGTATTTCTTTAAATTTGGAAAAAATAATTGTAGTACTAAAGGAACTTTACCCAGGTTTTTCCTGGCTTTAAATTTTTTATATTTTACTGACTTGAGCAGACTGATTTATGCTCAAACCTTTGCAGGATCATTTTCATTGCTTTCAGTAAATCACAAATACTCGAGTAACATAACATATCTTTTAATGGAAGAAACTTTGCCAAATTTAAGGCAAATATGGAGACATTTATAATTTCACAAACATGTAACTCAGGGTAGAAGAGAGAGCAAATTGTCCCAGAAATGAGCAAGTGAGACTTTTTGGTGTTCTAATGTGTAGCAGTATAAGGAAATATAAAACTGCTAATTTATGTGTGGCAGTTGGCATATTCTAAAAGCCCAGTTGTGAACACCTATCTCACAAGTAAGTGTGGAGAGAAATGACTCGAACAGAATTACACAGAAGTTTTCTATTCGCTTTTCTGCCTTGTATGTCTCATAACAACTTTTCTTTTCCAGGATGTGATATTTTCATTTTCTCCACATCAATTAGGAATATTTAAAGTGAAGCAAGTTGTGGATATCATTGGTACAGGACTAGAGAAAAATAATTTACAGGTTTTGAAGACAAAATCCTTTCACCAAATATATTTGAGCTTTATTGGTGTATGCAAATCTAAACGAAAAAAAATTCTATTCAAAATTAATCCTGGTAAGATGCTGAAAATGACAACTGATAAAATGTTTTAACAGTATATTTTTAACATTTTAGAAGATGATTTCTTACTATTTTTAGTTTATTTTAAAAAAAATAATCTCTCTTGCAGTTGAGGAAATGCTCAATTGTATGACATGTACCCATGAGTGTATAAAACAATGGCTAAAATAATGGTAACCCCCCATCATATTTTAACAAAAATGGAACTATTAAAACATAAATTTTCATCATATGATTATTTAACTTTTATAAATCAGAAAATAAAAGCTTCAGTCTTTGGCAGCGATGCCATTAACACAGTACCAGTATGTTTCAGTTGTAAGTAGAGAGATAGGTAAAGCACAGAAAGAAGTTAGGAAAGATAACAGGGTATTCTTGATTGATTGAAAGTCACTATTGCCAGATGAATCTGCCAGTTAATGCACGTCCATTGACTCTTCTCATCCTATGAAACATATGCCAGCATCAAGAATCTTTCAAGATTTGCAATAATTAGACTCTAATTTGTTCCTCGTGTTCCTTATGTCTCTCATGAACAATCACTTTACAGTAGATTTGACTAAGCCTGTCATTGGATTTTAAAACCAGTCATGGGAAACATAGCTTTTTTTAGCATCAAATAAGCCGTAGCATCTGCAGGTAGTACTAGAGCAACAGGGCTGTCCTGTACAGTGGTGCATCTGGTTTCTGTGTGTAGATAAGGAGGGGAGCTTGAATGCTCCTTAACTGACTGCTGCCCACTTGAAGATGTACTCACTAATGAAAAACAGGAAGGCAATACCCATTTTTTTTAGAGAGAGCATTGTGGGGAAGTAAAAAAAAAAGGAAGTAATTTGAAAGTCAGGATAAAATGCTGTTCTTTCTACAAATACTAGGATGGTTGATAAGCCATTGGACATTCCCGTTACTTTCAGGAAGGTATCTCAAGTCTATGGCAATCAAGAATCGATGAGAAACTAAAGTTTTGCAATTTCTGGGTTTTATTGTTGAAATCCAGAACTCCTGCATTTTTCCTGCCTCAAAACCACGATTATAATATGTTTGTGTGCATCAAAGATTTAATGTAGTGTTCAAGTTTTGTCATCTTTTCTAAATGCTCTTCTCTATTATTTGCTCTATCAGTGTCCCCATTCTGCTCCTATTTGCAGGATTATAAAGAGGTTATGAGGGGTATCTGTATTCTGTAGGCTGCTGCTATCTGTGTTTTCCTTTAAGCTTCATTGATGTGTGGAGGGAAAGTGATTTTGTTTTTCAGATCCTTGTATAGATGGGTTCTGTATCTTCCTGTTCTCTTCTCCCAGTTTCTGTGGATAAGTATGTTTACTTGTCACTGTATTTGGTGGAGGGGCGGAGAGACTGGAAGGAAGCTTTTTGCAAACTGTGCCTCCCTGGGCACTGGAAGTTGTAATCACTCATATAGATTGAAGGATGGAAAGGAGAGGGTTTTGTAGCCATTTAAGAGTAAAGTAAGGCTAAAGTGGGTAAACCCAATATGTTTAGTTTAACATATCATTTTTTTTGCAGATGAGGGAGCAAGGGGCAGTTGAAGAATTGATTTACTTATTTATTTATAGTGCTGTTTTAAACGTGTATCTTTATGCAGGAGGAGTGAGCAAACACATCGCCTAGTTTCTGTCATAATTTTTCTCTTCAATTTTAATGTATATGTGCTTTTCTAAAACTAGAGTGAAAAAGATCCAAACTCTCTTTTTAGTTGTGATAGCTTAGGAGTTCTTTGTAAAAGAAATCATGCCTGTGTTTGTAGCCCTTAAGACAAGCCTTAGGATACTGCAGACAGTGTTGCGACAGTGTCAGCTCTGAGTCTTTGGTGGTGTGCACATGCAAGATAAAGCATCACAGTTGGAGCTAGTAGTAGTGGTTTGGGCTCTAATATTTGTCTGTGATCTAGGCCAGGGAAGGTGTTCAGCTGTTAGTGTGGTCTAAATGCCTTCTTCCCTCTTGTGTGGGAAAACATAATGAAATGGATGACTGATTGTTGGGCTGCTGGGTAGACTGGTATAAATTAAGAAATATTTTTGTAATACTTTGAATTGTGTTTAGAAAGTGTTAGTATCAGTGTATTAACAAGTTTCATTTGAATTTTAAGGTATAACACCAATGATTTCCAATGCAACCGGACAGTTTGTAGCTGATGGCACAGGACAGTGCACTGATACAGCACCTGTGGCAATACTTAAATCAACCCACACACAAATTCATACTCATTGGATAAACAGGAACTGTGAGGATGATGCACTTATAGCTTTTCCTAATGACCGCGCAGCCAGCATTAGACCTAGTGAATGGAATAAAAAGTACAGGTAAAAATGATGTGAATATAATATTTAAACCCACACATTTGTATGTACTATATAGTAGATCAAGACTCGTTACTCATATGACAGTTTACTCTTTTTTTTTTTTCTAAGGCTGAAAGTTCTTTAAAATTCATTGGATTCTACTCAACCTTGAACCTATTGCACATAAATTTATCTAGTTGCTTTTCTTATGTGAAACTACAAATGTAGCTATTACAGTTTCAATATTTCATTTTTATGGTTGCCTTTACAAGGTCAAATATTAATAATAAGCTGTGATAAAAAGAATGTTTGCAATGAAATATATATATATATATGGCAAAATCAATATGTTTTCTTTCTAACAAGACTCAGAATCATTTTACACGTGTAGTGAAACTACAATTCTCTTTGAATATTTAGGACTATTTTCACAAAGACTGAGAGATATAATTATATAGATCCAGAGTTTTCTTATACTGACTGTGAACGACTGTCAAAAGAAGCACATAAGGAATACTACGCAGACTTCATTTCTAGTTTAAGACAGCATCGTTTACAGAAAGATGCTGCTAGGTAAGACTTTGTTTAAAGGGTAAATAAATACTTCAGGCTCATATGAAAAATATGTGGATATACATGCCAAATTGACTTAGTAGCACCATTCATATACCTAAATTTGCCCCATGCTGAAATGTTTATGGTCTTGGGACCTTCATTTATAAGGCATTCAAAACCCATTTTGTTCAAATGTTCATTTAGACACTTAGAGATCACTTCCTGGGTAAAATACAGAGACAGAAGCATGAAACTTAAAATAAGATGCCAAGTTTTAAGAAGAGTTGGTTATGGTTAATAGGAAAAACATAGCATTAATTATATTGGATTTTCTTTTATTTTTATATAAGTAAATTGTATATATTTCCAACTAGTATGTCTAGCTCACCTAAAGTGATGGATTCAGTGTGTAAATTATGATATAATTTGTTGAATGAAGTAGATAAAATTAAAGCATTGTATTGGTCTTCTAGCTTTATCTTATAGTAAATTCTTGCTTCATGAATGTGTGTATTTGTTTGGTATGCTGTGGAGCAAAATCATGGGAAAGCAGAACTGACAGCTCTGCTACTTTCAAAAGTTTTATTTAAAAAAACCTCAACAAACCAAACTAGGAAAAAAAAGCCTGTAAAGCCTCTAAAGCAAGAGAAGTAATACCTTGAGAGCGTTAAGTTTGCAAGACTCATTACTTAAAAATTAATAATGCCAGTGGATTATTCTTGTAATCTCAATTTACCTTGCTCTGTGTATATACATCATGATTCAGACAAGGCCTACAGAGCTGGATTTATTTTATTTTTATGCAAGCACATGATGTATGGTTTTCTTGAAAGAAACTGGTGTTGTGTAGTGGGTGAACTGTTGTTTATATCACCATAATGCATATATTCAAGGTATACTGCATGAGGAACAAGAACAGAGAGGACAATTTCACAGTTATCAGATGAATTTCACTGTTATCAAATATAATAGTAATATGAATACTTGATCTGAAACATCTGTTTAAGATCTCTGGAAGTTTCAAATCTCTTGGTTGCAGGTGAAATTGATCATAGTTGAACTTTGACCAAGAAAAGTTAATTGCTCTGAAAATTAGGCTATAAGTGATCCAGTTCAGACATATGCAATTAAAGGATCCTTTGTAATCTTGGTATTTGCTAAATTTAAGTGCTTAACTTTACAACTTACTTGTTCTTTAAGAGGTATTTTAGACATGATGTAATATTTATATTTTGGTAGCCATAACTCTTGTGACCTATTTAGCTAAGAAATTGCCAGAAACATGCAATAGATGTTAATCCTTGCCTAAACAATACAATAAAAGGCTTTTCAAGGCACTTTCTGTACTTGAGCTTTTTTTTTAAATAATGAAATATTCCTACTTAAGGTATTATCTGTGTTTAAAAATCTTAACTAATTTAATGTGCAGAACATATAATGCTCAAATGTCCAGATTTCCATATTCTTTTTTTTCCCCTCCCCTATAGGCCGTTTTATATTTATAATAATTCTGTGAACATAGGCCTTAAACCAGCTGAAGGTCTTATGTCACCAAAGATCTCAATCACAGATTTTCACAAGGAGAAGCTACAGTTCAAAATGCTTCCTTTAGATGAGAATTGCCTATTAACTAGTCGAAAATTGGCAGCAATTGGTTCTAAATCTTCAATCAAAGAAGTAAGTTCAATGCTTGAGTAGTAATATAAGCATAATGTCTTTACCATATTAAAAAAACATAAGAATTTTGATCTTGCTCTGAGAAGATGTCTTGTGTTTATCACAGATTTGGAATGGGCTTAGTGCTATGCCATCTTCTACCCAAGAGAAAGAAGACTGTAGTTTAACATTGACATCCAAGCAGCTTCATCAAATATTCATTGGTAAGACTTTAAATTTGGTTACTAAATGCACATAGTTGTTATAAAAGCATTTATTTATAGTAACACAATTTATGTTCATAATTGTTCACCTTAAATAGAAAATGGTTTTATTTGGTGGCAGCCTGATATCTACAGTAGTGTTTAACTAAAGCTTTGTACTCTTCAGAAAATACTGAGATGTGATTAGGTATGAACATGTAAAAGGAGACTGCTCACACTACCGCATATTATAGTGAAATCAATACAGCGTAGTATGAGGGTTGCTCATACCCTTTTGCTTTGTTATTGGATAGTATCTGGACCAACATTAATATCAGAAAGATTCATGGGAGTGTTCAGAATGTTTCTAGGAATTAACAGTGAGCAGTGATACCCCAAAAAAGTCAAACTTCTTTAGGGTCCTCCTTCAAAGTAATTTCAGTGGAATGCTCTGTGATAGGGAGTAACACCTTCTAAAGTCAGTGAGAGACTCTTCTATTAATAACACTTGGTACTAAAAGTGGTCTATTTTAAGCTCATTTTTTCTTCAATAAAATTATTTAGCAGCAAAGTGAAAATTTTCAGTACTTTCTGGGCATTTTTTGTTTTCAGGGAAGCCAGAATTTGAATAGTATAGCTGGGTATACTGTTACATTTTGGGAAAAGTAGAATAAGATAAACATATTAATACAATAAGTACTTAGAGTTTTGTAAGGTGTTTGATTAGTGCCATGAGCACTAAAGATTGCAGACCAGAATAAAAACTGGTGATAGCAGTAAATAAAGTAGTGAGATAATTCTGTCACCATCAAATTACGTGCATTATTAAACCAAATGGTCACACATCAGTGAGCAAATAAACAGGTTAAGTATATAAATTCTCAGTGAATTGCTGGTTGTCTAGCCATTTAAATATCTGATTAATAAAAAGAAGTATTTATGATTATTAATAATGCCTTTAGTAATTAGCACATTGCTTTTCCTATTTTAATAGCTGGCTAACAGACAGTATTAAGAAATAAAAGTTAGCTCTGGCTTTTGAGTTGTACTACTGAAAACATTCACAGAACATGGATGGTATTTAATTCCAAATTTTAGTGTGAATTTGTTCTGCTACAGGATTGTTCTAGCTGACTAATTGTGTAATTTGAGGAACTAAAATGTTTTAATAATAATATTTTAGTAGTTACACTTCCTTACATTAACTTTTACTTTTTAATGTTGAAGATCTTATTTCTTATATATTCCAGGTCCTTCTACTATGGATTTTGGTGATGTTTGTGTGTATTCTACAACAGCCAGAAAACTGCACATCATCAATAACTTGTTAGTTCATATATGGATACAAATTGAGATTGAAATTGATGAATTACAGCAGACGAGTCCATTGTCTCAGGTGGTGCCTCCTCTTACAAAGACCCATATTCCTGTTGTATTTGAGACAAGTACTCTTGGAATGTTTAAAAGGTAAGGCTTCTTACATTTGTCTTGATTTACATATTTTCTCTGCAGTAGTAGAATAAAAAAGAAAAATCATGTGGCTTGTATATCAGGGAAAAAGTTTGCTAGTACAATGTATTTGTTAGGAGAAATTTTATGGAAAATACTGTGCTTTTTCCGGCATATTGTTGCATCGCTACATCTATGCTCAGACCTTTTGATGCACCTCATGGGTAAATGTATAGGCAAACTGTTTTATAGCCTTCTGGTATGCACATGGAACTCTCACTTCACTAATGCTGTTAAAATGACTGTATGAGGTTAATCATCCTTTGGGATGAACTTCACTTTGGACATGATTTAAGTTGTATGCAAAACAATTACAAATTGTTTTCTCTTATCAGTCTTAACTGTGTGTTCACACTCAATTATTTTGTTAAGTATTTTCTTGCTAATGATTATATTTTACATAAATCTTACTTTGCAACATGATAAATACATAAAAATATTGAGAAATACATATTTTTATGTTACAGATCTTTCACTTACACAATAAACAACCAACACCTTGGGCATGTGCTGGTAGTTGCAAAAGCAGTGTCTGTTGAACTTGAGCTGTCTGCAAGGGAAGTGATTTTAAATCCCATTCCTGGCTACCTAGCAGAGACAGAATTTAGAACAACTGTCAGGGTATACAATCCCAGAAACCATCCTGCTGAGTTTACTTGGAAACCTATAATTACAGAAAGAGGAACTGCATTTTCTATACAACCAGCCAAAGGTATACTATGCAAGTACAGTGTGTGTGCGCGCATCTTAAATGTCAATAATGTAAGAAAGACAAACATTCAGATTGTGCTATAAACTGTATCTTTTTTTAGATTTGGTGCAAAATCACTGTATCCCAAAAAATAGTATCAGATCAGAGTGTTAATACCATAGCAGCATTCCCTGAGTGCATCTCAGTCCAGTTTGTTGTTTCTACATCCAGCTAGCAGCACTTATGTAACCTTTTTTCTCAGTGCGGATTGCTGATATTTCAAAAGCGAGGCAGCTATTTAATGGCAGTTACCAATATCAGGATAGGAAATTTTCCAACAGCACTGTATGAATGAAGCTGCTAAGAAGTTGATGTAGACAGTCTGAGCGACACAAATGGAATTCAGTCTGGGATTAGTTTCCACTTGCATTATGGATCAATATTTGTTAGAAGTGTGTGAGTCATTAGCTTTTACCTTCTTTCCTTTGGAAGATAGTGTTCTGCAGGAGTATGTTGGAGCTCTGTTACTAAAGAATTAACTGCTAACTGAATTGGCATTACACAGTTCAAACAAGACTTGGTTGGATCAGGAGCTTGGTGTGCTCTGATTCTTGAGAAAAGAAATTTCTGCTGATACGAGTTCAGACTCAGCTGCAAGCAAGAAAAAGTATATGGTCTTTCCCAAAGTTGTTATTCTACAAGAAGGGTAGTCTGTTCTTTTATTTTCTTAAATGTAGACTATTTGAGTAGTTCATGGCTAAAAATTACCAGTGAACTTTGAGTGTGTTTTACTGCAGGATATTAATAAACAGATTACACAATTGTCATGAGAATTCAGAAACTAATTTTACTTAATTCAGCATACTGTTCAACACCTTGGAAATACAGGCTTAGTCTTCAGTAATAGAAGGTCATTTCACTTTAATGTGCTTATGTTGTTTCTAATTATACAGTATAATTTCATAATTGTGCATGTGTATGCCATAATGTTTAAATTATGCACATTTATTTAGGCTTTGTAGAGGCTTATAGAGATCTGGAGTGTGAAGTTGTTTGGCATCCAGGATTCAACTCTCCAGAAGCAGGAGAATTCAACTTGTGTGTGCGTAAAGGAAACACAATTAAGTTGAAATGTTTTGCAAAGGTAACAATTCATACAGCAGATTTAGAGAAGCAAAATGTGTGGGTTTTTTAAAGAAGTAATTTCTTAAATATATTTCTAGTATCATGTGTTAAAAAAACATTTTAATTTCATATGGCTTCTATTTGACATGCCTAACAAAAGAACATTGTTCCAAAAACATGATGGAGAAGGCAAGACAAAGACAACTGACCCTTTTCTTGCTTTCGATGATATACTTCCTTTGACACCACAGCTTTGTGGTCCTTATAGATTAAGTGGTAATTGTTCTTCTTGGGTGGTTTAGTTTAGCCAAACAAAGGTTGACAGGTGGTATGATAATTCTTTAGATATGTATTAAAGGGATAAAAATAAAGGTGTGTGGGAAGGTATCTTTCAGATCTTCAGGATAAGAACAGGCTGCAATGCAACTTTGTGCTGTTATTTGAACATGGTATTTGATAATTTGAAGAGCAATGTTCTGGATATTCTAAACAATGACATTCAGCTTAGATGATTGATCATTTGTTATCTTATGTTACATGCAAGGAAGTGTGAAGGAGACAGTCTCTTTTTTTTTACTGTATTCTACTGGCTCCATGCTTTAGACCTTCCATTTTGGGAGCCAAGAAAGCTTTTTCCTTCCTTTTGATGTGCCTGTTTTCTCTTTTATTTTTTTTCCCCAGTAGCTTTTTTTCTTTTCTTCCTCCTCTTTTGAAGTCTTGGAAATTGCCATATGTAAACCAGGATGTATGTAAATTAGAATATTAGCATTTCTACTGCTATTAAAATCTCTGAAGTATCTTGTCCTGATCACACATTTAGGATAAAAAAAATCATGGTGCTTCTGCTGTTAAATGAAATTTAATTAAAATATTTTTATTTGTCTTGAAATTAGCCCAGAAATATCTCTGGGGTTGTATCTGTTCACTTTGAATCTAAATAAGTTCAATGCATTGAGTAAATCTTGTCTCACATTTAAACCGTGTTTATCTATTTGAATATTTCTAATTTATCCATTTCCACAAGGATATTAGCTCATTATGTAATGAAAAGAAAATTAGGCTGAATTATTTATTTGTACTTAGTAATATGCTATTTAGTTTGCTTATTTTCCTCTTCTTTTTTATAGCTTGGTACTACTAAAGTTCAGTTTATGGAACAAAGGATACCCTTCAGTCATAGTCCAATGGGTTTATCTACTTGTAAGACAGCCATTCTTCAAAACATAGGTTCCAATCATGCATACTTCCAAGTAAGCTAAAATTATTTTTGGTATATTTCATTTCTTGGGGTGGGGTGAAGAAGGGAGTTAATTTTATCAGATCATGTTACAGGTTTGTATTCTTGGTTACTAGATACACATCTACTTAAGTTTTTGTCTGGCTTTCTGAAGAAAGAAGACTTAGGTGAATAGGAATTCTGTCCCTCTGTCAAATTTGGATTGATGGATAGATGGACTGTTAGACAAGCAAAGTGTTAGTGGTCTAAAAGGTTGTGGAAGTTTCATGATAACCTATGGTGAATCCTATACTAGTGTACCCTATGAAAAAGCAGTTACAGCTTGCATGTTTTTATATTTTGAGAAACAGAGGAAACTGGTTAGTCATCCTATTCATACCGGCTGTCCAGTAGACCCAGACCAGTCATAGCAAATACGATTACCTTGCTAGACTAACATCTGAGAGGAAGATAGGCTGTGTTATGAATTGGACAAGAGATGAGATGGATGCCAGAGTGGGTGAAGACATAATAGATGAATTCGTAGGAAACCTAATCTTGTTAGTTCTCCTGATCACAGAATAATTTCCTGTAGTTATTTAGTGAAGCAAAATAATTTTCATTAAAATCCTCAAAATTTTTGTTACTACATTATGGAACTAAGAAGCTAGAAGAACTATTATGGTACGAAGAAGCTTGATTAATTTATTTTGATTTGTACTATATTTCTCTGTTTATCAACTGAGTATTGTAATAACACGTATCATTACTACACTCTTGGAGGATGGACCTGAAAGAATAAAATAAGCATAATCTATAAGACAAACTTACCCAGCCTTTTAAGCCTCCATGATTACTCTTAAACCAAGAGATGGCTGATTTGTCTTGGTCATTAACACTTGTTTAGCTATACTTTAAAATTTATCTATTTAGAGTACATTAGAAGAGAACAAATTCTATTTTGTCCTTACTAATTGTGGGTAAACTGAATATCTGCTCCTAGTATCATTACTGAACCCTACAGTATTAGGATCCGTTTTGTGAATATCGAAAAGGAAGTGATGAATTTGTCACTGAAAAAATGCTATCACTAGATAATAAGCCTTAATAACTTAATGAAAACAACTCAAAAACCAGAATGTGACATTTCCAACTGGTGTGCAAAAATTTCATAATAGAAACTGACAGCCATCACATTTAGGAATCTGTTACTTTATTTTGTTTACCTGTATTTTTGCCCCAAAATTCTATGTCCAAGTTACCATTATATATTATGAAGGTTCTCCTTGTAAGAATATAAAATCTTCATGACATACCACCTTTTTCAGTATTATTAATGTTTCATGTTTGTATTTGAAGGTTCTTGATTCAAACCCGCTGCCTGGAATGATGATCACCCCTTCTGAAGGAGTTGTACCTGTGGGAGGCCATGCTGATCTCAAAATCTGTTTCACTCCGAATGTAAAAATGAGTTTTGATACAAGAGTGGAGGTATTCAAAACTGGAAGAATGTGTCTTTTGAGTGTTATGTTGTGTGTTTATGTGTGGAGATGTGAGTACATTTAATCATCTTTTGGATTTTAGTTCCAGTGTTCTAATGCTTTTTAAGAAAAAAAAAATTCTTAACAGCAGTTGATGGCTGCTATAACCTGTTATTTTGATCATAGTCCTGCTCTGAAGTATCAAAACAGCCTCACAGTTTGAGCAGATTCTTATTATACCATTGGCAAGCTGTTGAAACTAACATGTAATTGTCTTCAGATCATATAGACATATCTGCGTTTTTTATGATCTGTAGAGGAGCAGGACTTTAATACTGCAGTGTCTTTAAGTTCTTGACTTCTTTTTGTGGTCATCTCAGAGATGGATTTACTAGTAGATTTGATTTGATAATAGAAGTACAATAAACATCTAACCCTATTTTGTTTTCTGTATGCCTGCTTCCTGAACTTTTCCTTGGTCAGATAAATGAGAATGGGAAAAAGGATGCTATCATGGGGCTGATCTTTGCTACCTCTTCTGACTCCAATCCTGGATTCTCTATCTTCTGTTGCCGCCTACATTATGCTCACTAAACCTAGTATCCATTTCTTTTTTCCAGTTCTAAAACAGTGTATTGGGTTTGCATGGCAAGGTTTTG